AATATATATATATATATATATATATATACATTAAATATATTAAACTATGAATAATTTAATTATATTCTTTTTATTATTTAATTTTAACAAAATTTAATCTAGACATTAAAGACAGTATGAATTAATAATTCAACAAATTACTTTTATAATTACTTGTTAATAAAAGTTATATCAATATAATTTGATGACTTCTCAGTTTTCATAAGTTAAATTTGAACATGAATATTTGAGAGAAATGTTATTTGTGGATTAAATTATTGTTTAGCATGTAATCTAAATAATAATTAATAAATCATGTTACAAAATCTTTCTATTGATTTCTTACCTGTTTTGTAGGAAAAATATTGATCTTTTTTCAAAATTTTAAAACATTAAAAATATATACTTTTTAATTTAATATTTTCTTTATAAATGTTTTGGTATGGGGACCTCTTCTAGCATTATCTAGTAGCAATTCAAATTAAAAACATTCAACTAGTGTTACTTAGCTCCTCTTAATCAAGGAGAGGTTATATAATTGTGTTAGGATGTATTAAAAAATTTTATTCTCTCAAGACTAATTCTAAACAAACTTAGCATGATTATCTCTAACCCAAATTGCTGTTAGCATGATTATCTCTGACCCAAATTATTGTAAATAAGTTTAGCTTTTAAGGCCTAATCATTGGATTTTTATGTGGATTAAATCAGGTAACCAACACAATGGTTCTTATAACAATTTACTCTAATTATCTTTAGATTTTAAAGATACATAGTCGTGTAGCCTCAAACACGTAAGTACAAAAAAGTTAATGTAACTTGCTGAGTCGCCTTAATTAATTATTCAACTTTAGACATGGAGGGTATACAATAAAATATTAAAAACATCTGTAATAACATTACTTTTTATGTGGTATTATTGATAATATATGTTCCTGTGTTAGGAAACACACTTCAATTATCCTTGTAGCGGGTCGGATCTTGAATCTCGGTCTTCTCGTTCCTATCCGAGTAGTCCGATGTGAAAGGGGGGGGCCTACAAAGGGCGGATCAGCTCTACAGCAGATTTCCGGTAAGAACAATTAGTTTTCCAAATGTTTCTACCATGTTCTTTAACTCAAGTTTTCGTCTAATAATTATAAAGTATAATATATCACTAATTTGTATATAAGAATTTATTAATGTACACCTACTTAGTTTTTTTTTAGTTGAAATGAACAAATTATTATTTGAATTATCTTAAAATACTCACGATATAATTTGTTAAGATGCTCTAATTAAAAAATAAGTGGTGTATGTTAATAAATATTTGTAAACTTTGTTAAATTGCACTCACTTGTACTTAAGTTGAAGTGCGTTAATAAATCACAATTACAATTTTCTTAAAATACATTCATATAATATAATTTATTAACATATTTCAACTATGTAAAAAAAAAAAAGGTAAGTGAATGCACATTAAAACATTTTGGGGGTAAAAAGTGACCAAATATCGAATGTCTCGACATATATAAACAAACTTAATTCAATTCGGTTTTGGCTAATATGGAGCAACCTAACTCTCTTTAAGAGAGTCTCAAATAGTAGACGTGGTTGTGTAGTGAGAGACGTCATTCTACAATATGAACTACTATTGTTTTATTTTATGCTCTTTTATTTTTATTTAAAATTCTTGATATCCTCCTTGATAGGCATTAAATTTGGCATTATCCAAATTTAATTCCCATTTTTAATCACACATCTTATTATAACATTTTGATATCGTTATGTTTAATTTCAAAAGTACTATAAATTATAATTTTAAAGTTAAAAAATACAGTTAATTTATTTGAAATAATGATATGAAAATATTCTTTAAACCTAAAGAATTTTGAGCCGATATGAACAAGTGGGCCTGTTTGGAATGAGCATTGATTGATTTCTCCAAGCGTTGGAAAGCGATGTTTATGAGAGAAAAGAAAACGTACCATGAGCAGAGCCTTAACGTGGGTGATGGTAAGCGGCGTCTTGGAATCAGCGCCGGAGCCTTCCTCCTCCAAATTCAACAGAAACTGGAGAAAGTCTTTCTCCTTCCTTTCTTCTTCCCCTTTCACCCTCCTTCGTTCGCCGATCATCTTCTCAAATATCCCATCGAACCGACACACCAAACCACGCATCTCTTTCTCCACACCTTGCAAATCCAACCCTGCCAACCCGGGAAAGAAGTCCGACACGTTCGGCTTCCCCAGAAGCTGCGTCATCTCCGCCACCAACTCCCTGAACTCCGCCCCCAACCTCTCCCTCTCCGCCCCTTCCACCGCCTCGCCCCACATCATATTCGTTATTACATTCAGCAACGTCAGAAACACCTGTTCCCCCACTTTCACCGGCCTCCCCACTCGCTCCTGCAAATACGCCACCATTTTGCGCATCTCATTGCGCCGGAGATCGTACACGGAGTCCAGGGTAGTGTTGCTCAGCATCTTCAGCACGCACACTTTCCTCAGCATCCGCCACTCGGGGCCGTACGGGTTCCACGCTATGTCGGAGCCGCCGTAGGTGGCTACCCTTCCGGCGGCGGGAACGTCGCGGTTGGCGAAAACGATGTCGTGGTCTTTGAGCACCTCACGAGCTATGGCCGGTGAAGTTATGACGATGGCGAGCTTGCTCCCGAGTCGGAGCTTCATAATTGGGCCATAGATTTGGGCCAAGCCGGTCAAATAAGTGTGAAGCTCGGGGTCCAAGGATAGAAGGTTCCCGAAGAAGGGAAGGCCCGGTGGACCCGGTGGAAGCTTCTGAGAGTTGGGCTTCACGAGGTATCGCCATGCATACCAAGCAAGCGTGGAAATGACACACAAAGCAAGAATCGGGTTAAGGTTTTGGAACACAGTTGAGATGGAAACCATGGTTGAAGCAGAAATCAAAAGATGAGGATGAGGTGACCTATTGCATAGCTAATATAAGCAGTTTAACGAAATCTTCAAAAATAGGACACATGTGAATTTGGCTTGCATGGACGGCGCATGAGGATTGAAGAGTGAAACACGACAATGGAAGTTGGGTAGAGGCCACCCATGACCACAAATCAAACTCTTCATTATCACAATATCACCTAATATTTTTTAAAACCCATAAATTTATATCAATTTTATTTTAAATATATTTTACACATAATTTTTAACAAATTTAAAAAAAAAAAAATATATATATATATAGGGGAATGCTAATATACTCCCACCTATTTTTTAGTGGGAATATGTTAGCAACCTACACTAAAATTTTAGGACAAAAAAATTACTCAGTTCTTTTGATTTGGTTAATTTATATAAAGGATATTATAATAATTTAATTTAATTTTAAATAAAAATAAAATATTTTCTCTCTCTTATTAATTTCATTCTCTAAGTCATTTCTCTTTTCTATTAAATTCTTTCTTTAACATATACTTCTCTCCTATTAAATTCCTTCTTTAACTCATTTCTCTCTCATCTCTCATGATGTCTCCCCCCTCTCTTTCTGAACAAATAAAAATTAATTAATTAGAAAAAATAAATGAATTGGAGAATGAAATTAATAAGAAAGAGAAAATATTTTATTTTTATTTAAAATTAAATTAAATTACTATAATATCCTTTGTACGAATTAACCAGATCAAAAGAAATGAGTAGTTTTTTTGTCCTAAAATTTTGGTGTAGGTTGCTAACATACTCCTATTAAAAAATAGGTGGGAATATATTAGCATTCCCCATATATATATGTGTGTGTGTGTGTGTGTGCGTGTGTGTGTGTGTGTGTGATTTCTTATAAACTCTTTGTAAGTATTATTTTCTTATAAACTCTGTTAATTTCATATTTATAAATATGATGTTCTTATCCACGCCAAAATTGGTATCAGAGCCTTGCCTGTGATATCTTTGATATAAATTGATCATAACTAGGAGGCTCTGCCACCTTTACTTGAATCAATTTATATTGTGTTTAAAATGATAATGATTTTATTAGAACATGGATATATTCGTATTACTTATCATGAAGATCCATATCCTTGTTATTCAATTAATATTCATCAATATGAAAGTGCTATTACCTTTTCAGTTACTATTAACTCTTCTTGAGTCTTCTAATTATTTGAGTTATCTTTGAATTTGTGTTCAAATTCTGTTATTTGTTTTTAAATTATTGATATTTTGAGTCTTCTTTGGGGGGAAGTAGAGGCCAAGGTTATACACTCTTGTTGGTATTCTCGATAGTAAAGCCTAAGTGAGAGGTAGTAAATCCGTTGGTAAGCCATGGATAGAGGCCACACCTTTACCACTGTGAAAGAACCCTCAAAATTGTCAAGAATTTTAGAAACAATTAGCAGTCTAGGAACCAAAAACAAAAATAAACAAATAGTTATGAGAACTCCCAATACTTTAGAAGATACTACAAGTACTTCTCAAGATCATTTCCAAACCGAATTCCAAATAGCAGAAATAGAAAATTCTCTTCATAATTGGTCAATACCTACAGTTAAAAAATGTGAAGTTTATAAACAACACAGTATTTGGTTAACAAACCAAGATGAAATTCATATCTCAGAATTTTGTTACCTGGCACTAAAACCAATAAAATTATTAATTTATTACAACAAAATATATTAGATGAGCATATTAAGAAAGGATATAATTACATGCATTTAAGATTAATTCAAGTAGCTGCTAAACCTAATTATAGATTAGGTATAAACAGTCCCGTATTATTATTATTACGTGATATTTGTATGAAACAATTTCAAGATTCTATTATAGCCATATTAGAAAGTAATCTGCATGATGGCCTTGCCTTCTTTAACTATTATCCAAATTTTTCTATGAATATTAGAAATACAAAAACCAGTAATGCTTTGAAATTATATGTTAAAATCCCTGATGAAATCCTGGATGAGGATTCTGGTCCTATTCAACTCATTTTTACAATTTATTACAAAGTTACTAAAATAGATTATAACTATAAAGCTCTTAGATCTTCACCTAAAAATGAAACTGTTTTAGTTGAAGCAAATCTTAGAAAATCCTCAATACAAATACCAAGGCGTCTTAGTCAACTGAAGTTATTTCTAAAATTCCAGAAGATTGGTTATTAGAAAATATTATAGAAGAGCCAAAAATATACAATACTCAAATTAGAGAAATAATCCAAGATGGAACAGATATTAGATTAAGAATGAATAGATCAAATTCTTTGAGAAATCCTTTACGTCAAATGATTTATAAAGGATCTAATTCTAGACATTCCGTAGACAGACCTACCATTAACATAGACTTAACAAAATTAGATATTAATTCAAAAATAGCTAGACCTATTTATGAAAATAATTCCAATATAAAACTAGAAGAAGATTTTGATCCTACTCAATCACAAATACTCAATACTCTTACTAGACAAGAAACTTTTAATATTGATAAAAAATGGATTAATGAAGATTTTAATGCTAACTACAATAAACCTTTAAGAGAACGGTATTTTTCTACTTTTACAACAGAAGAAGTTATTAATTTTAGAACTCTTTATTATTCTTTTATAGAAGAAAATGAAATTAATATTTATTTCTTTGACTGGTTTGAAAAATATAGTAGAGAAAATAATATTATTAAAACCATTAACCCATTAACAAGAACTATAAAAATTTGGAAAACAATAAACAATAAGATTCATACTTCTGAATATCCTCCTACTTCAACAGTGCACGTTTCAATCTTGACCGAGGATTACTCGGGTTTTAGTACGCGTTGTGCGTAGTGCTCGGCCTGGGGCACAAGTGTGTTTTTCGTCGTCGACCGAACGTTGGTCGATGTTGTCACCGTCGACATAGTGCTCAGCCCAGGCACATCCTTGGCCGAGGAGGGTACTCAGGAGGGAAACCTGGGGCGCGAGTGCACATTTCAAACTTGGCCGAGGATTGCTCGGGTTTTAGTACGCGTTGTGCGTAGTGCTCGGCCTGGGGCACGAGTGTGTTTTTCGTCGTCGACCGAACGTTGGTCGGTGTCGTCGCCGTCAACATAGTGCTCGGCCCAGGCACATCCTTGGCCGAGGAGGGTACTCAGGAGGGAAACCTGGGGCGCGAGTGCACATTTCAAACTTGACCGAGGATTGCTCGGGTTTTAGTACGCGTTGCGCGTAGTGCTCGGCCTGGGGCGCGAGTGTGTTCTTCGTCGTCGACCGAACGTTGGTCGGTGTCACTGCTTCCATGCGTAGTGCTCGACCTGGGCATACAATAAAATTGCAAACGATATAAAGAGATTTTGGAACTTTTATTAATGAAGTGCCTCGTTAAAAACCTTGCCGGCCCAAAACCCTCCTTAAGGAAAAAAGAGTCGGCTAAGGAAAAGAGTGCACTGTTACATCAGCTGTAATACATTTTCAAATGAGAAGAATTCCAAGTTCTCGGAATTGGTTCTCCCGATAGGTGCTCCAGCTTGTACGCTCCGTTGTTCAGGTTGTGTCGGATTCGGAAGGGACCGTCCCAGTTTGGGGCGAGTTTCCCATGTCTCGGATCTTTCCTTGCCTCGCCTGTGGCTCTCCAAATGAGATCGCCTTCGCGGAATTCTCTAGGCTTTACCCTGCTGTCAAATCTTCTTTTGTAACGTTGTTTGGTGGCCTCGGCCACAACTTGTGCTTGGTCTCGAATTTCTTCCACGCTATCCAGGTTTGCCCGGAGCTCGGCTTCGTTGTTCGACTCGTCGTAGTGGGCTCGGCGGAACGAAGGTTCCCCGATTTCCACTGGGATCATTGCATCGGATCCATAGACTAGGCGAAAAGGAGTTTCTTGCGTAGTCGACTGGGGGGTGCATCGGTAGGCCCATAGCACTTCGGGTAACTGCTCGGCCCATGCCCCTTTTGCTTCTCCAAGGCGTTTCTTCAACTCTACCAAGATGACTTTATTGGCCGACTCGGCCTGACCATTCGTCTGCGGGTGTTCGACCGACGTGACCTTATGTTGTACGCCCAAGCCGTTCAGGAATTCATTTAGTTTTCGGTCGGTAAATTGAAGGCCGTTGTCGGTCACCAGAGTGTGTGGGACACCGAACTGGGTAATGATGTTCCTCCATAGAAATTTCTGGACTTGATGAGCCGAAATGCATGCCAAGGGCTCGGCTTCGATCCATTTGGTGAATAGGTCGACGGCGACGATGAGGAACTTGCATTGTCCCTTGGCAAGTGGGAATGGTCCGAGTATGTCGTCCCCCCACGTGGCGAACGGCCAGGCTGGAGGAATGCAATGTAGCTGCTCGGCCGGTTGATGAATCAAGTTGCCATGTCTCTGGCATGGCTGGCATCTCTTTACGAA